GCAAAATGCGCCATCTCCCCCCCCGCCCCCCCCCCCAGCCGAACTGCCGTCTATCTCATTTCGTTCGGTGAACGATCTCAGTATTTCAGTTCCAATTCGAAGCCTTGTTTCGCTCGATTCATCTCGCGTTCGTGGATCACTGCAGTCATGAGTTCTTGTTCTTAACTGACTTCTTCATGGTATCAGGCCAAACAGCCATTGATCTGCATGCGAAGGTAAACATAAATAATTTGTGAGTGTTCAGTCACGGTTAGTAAAATCTATGAATGTTGAAGGTTATGGGACGCGCCATGGCTCATCTGGTCCGCGCATTCGATGAAAGGATTGCAGTGAATTTTGACTGCATTAGTCTTCATCTGTGCATTTGTCTGTGCGACAAGTTCCATCGATTATTGACGGAGAGAGAAATACCTTCAATGAGCGGGTAGGTTTTATCAAATAAATGTGTAGAGTAGACCAGTGGAGCCGGCTTTTTCTCTATTAAATTGTTAATGGTTACTGAATAGTTTGCCAATATACGCGAGTACTTTTGCTGCCCCCACCAAGCAGAACTACTCCGAAAAACCATTAAACTAATTAAAAGATCGACAGTTAGTGGATGCTATAATATGGTTTCATTTTCAGATATTGGGAAGCAATATCGAATCAGCTGTGGACTAGACTAGCACAAGTAATGCAGATGCATAACGATAGTGTGAAAGCCCTTGATGTTAAGCGTATGCAAACGCCAATCGACACGAGACCACATTATGTAAGTGATTATTTAACATTGTAATCTTTGTGTGACTGCGATGTGTACATAAATTCTACCTGTCTTTTCAATTTATCTTTTTTACATCTGTTGGGAAGCTGAGGTGGTGTAGCGGCAAAGGGCACACTTACCACGCGCACGGTCCTGGATCAAACCCTGGATCCGGTCTCGCTCAGGCTCGTCAAGTCTTCTTTCCGTCAAGGACGCTATGGTCCCGGCTCTTCCTGTGAGGAAAAGAACACTGACTGGTACACCAGCTGGCTCTACAAGTCGTGACTCTACAACGTACCTTGCAGTTAGGCCATTCAGTAAGCCACTCGGTTCTTAATGGAAGTGGAATGTCTTCGCCGCATACCCAGAACAAGAGATGGTATCAGCGGGTAAACCTAGACTTTAGACTTTATCATCCGTCTTAGGAGATCAAGCGCTGCTAGATGTTCCGCCTTGCGGAGTCTTTAAACATTAATCGCATGGGGTTTAATGTAAATACTGTCCTATGTTGTAAGTTCCAGGACTAAGCACACGATGGTGAACTGGATCCGCTGGCCTGAGAGTATAACGTTGTCCATGTTAACTGGTTTTCAGAACTTCAATCTCCCATGCCTTGTCTTTCAAAGCGTCTGCTAGGATGATATTGATGGGACTTCGAGTCACCATGGCCGTTTTTTTGAGTGTAGCCTCGATTTGCCTGGCGAGGGCTCGCGCTTGTCAATTCGGGCCATTTCCCCTTTACTCCTACACTCTCAAGGTCTTCCATTCTGGTAATGTACGCAATAACAAAGGAAAGGGCAAAAAACACCCCCTCTCCCTGAGCGTTCGACTGTCAATTTTCTTTACATGTGCGACATCAGTGGAGAGAAGCCAAGCCGCCCTTGCGATCCCGCTTCTTGCTCTAGCTATTGCCGTATATATCCCACAACAGATGTTTTTTTTAGTTTGCTAGAGCAATTTCGATTCTGTTTTTCACCCTCGCTAGAGCCAATTTTTTGTTTCATGTTCAGATTGTAAAGGACGATACGCTGACAACTGTACGGTGCTTCCATTCTCTCGTGTTACGGAATCGAGCGGACGAGAGGTGTTATGAACTCTGCTCTAACCACCCTTCTTCATTAATGGGAGTTCCTTTCCAGTTGGGTAAGAAAATGGAAGCAATTCTTGAGTCGTGCGCCGGTGGAATGCTGCGAACAACTTACTTCTCCGCGACTGTCGACGTGCTTACGGAACGCTGAGCACGATCGTTCTGGTCTGTCCTTCATTAAAACTATGACTCGGACACTCGGAAGATTATTTTGATGTGAGTCCTTTGCGGCCGTGCACGTCATATCTCAGAAAAACGAACAGCGAAATGTCATTCATGACGAGCAAACAAACAGCGATTTGCTACGGTGGAGCATTCACTCCGCGCCCCCCTGTCTTAGCTCGCCTCCCTGCTCTGCCTTGCTTTGCAAGAGTGACAGCTGCCAATTATTTCACGAAAAGAGCTCAAACTTCACTGCCGCTGCCATCATGGCGAGTCATTGAAATCAGCCAGGCAAGACTTTAATTGCTGAGGTAACCTAGTGCGGTTTTTCTCTCGTGTGCTCGCCATGCGCTAGTCGTGCCCCAAGAGTACGTTCATACTTTGCGCTTTTAGCGTTTTGAGCGTTTTAGCGATTTGGCAACTATGGGAGGTATTGATCTTGCGTACTGCAGCGTTTCTTGAGCGTTCAAGAAACTATAGATATTGATCTCTATCGTTTTGAGCTCATGCTAGCGTTCTGAGCATTTCGCGAGTAGTTTCGAGGTTTTCGCGGGCAATCGGTGAATACGCTGGCATGTGGTCAAAATGCGTTAGACGACCACTATAGTTTTCTAGCGCTCGAAACGCTTCCGAGGCTTTAGAACGCTCGCTTCTCCGAGTTATCTCGTGAGGGAACAATGTCGTCCATTTGACTTGTGCATTTCGTTATAAAAGCCGTTATTCATCTTTTTAAGGAGCGAGTAGTTCAAGACAGTCGAATCCATTCGATTATTCATGAGTTGGAGCAGAAGGCTATAGGAGAATTCGTGGAGGTATAAAGGACAGATAAGAATGTTCTGTCTCTCAGTTGGTATGAAATGAACTCACACCCTTCCAGGCAACATTGCAACCCCATTTTTCATCGTTGTTATCATTTGTCAGTGAATGTGAACCTTTAGTTCAGCAAGGACATACACATCTACTTGTTCGATATAATGGTATGTCAGTATCTTTCTACTTTTTGTGTAATGCCGTAGTTTGACTTCATTGTAGATAAGCTCACAGCAGTAGTACAGACGTTTTCTGCAAATTGGAGGCGTTCCATAGATGCTATAAATGGTGAAGTAGTGAAATCCTTCACTAACTTCAAAAACGGCACCAATATCCTTCAGGTAAACTTCGGCATAAGGATTTAGGGTGTTGGTCAGGAGATCCTCGTTGCGGCGGCGCGGCGAAAGCGACCTCGCACATGGCGCCGGGTGCGGCGTTTGTATTATGTGCCGCAGCGGAGGTAAACCGTCACGGCGCCGCCACGTGAACCTCTTTACTCCCTCTCCCTGGGTTTGCTATGCTCAGGTATCAACTTTCAGGCCGTTTTCACGCAACTGGTGCAGTATGTGCAACGATTCTCCAAATTAGTATCGCACGAGATCTTCCGCGATAATCCAGCACGTAACGACATGGTCAATATTCACCATATCTTGGTGGAATTGAAAAAGTATAAACCCGTCTATTGACGCGAGCAAGAATGATCCTTTTGTGATCTCTGCAGATCCTTTTTCTGTTCTGGATCGTTGAGGTACACTACGATCGTTCCTATGATAGAAGGTGGTCCGTCCTGCTGTACGTAAGTACGTACAGTCGTTTGTCTGTCTGTCATAGTGGGCGGTAATATAAGGGACCCAATGGAGATGTTGATAGTAGGTGATAGGATGTGATAACAATTGATAAGTGTTGGTAAAGGGTGTGAGGAACAGGGAATGTCCTGCTGTTGCG